TAAATGCACTTAGCATTGATGGACTGGAGTCTTAGACCCTCCTCCACAGGGTGTCAGCCTTGAGCAGTTGGCCACAGGTGGCAACATTATTATAGACTAAAACAGATTATTATTCTGTAACATTATTGTAAAACTGTCTATTTCATGCCACCTTTAAGAAATGTTTCCCCATTGGAATGGGAAATTCAGGACCACTCAAGTCATAGCCTGCCCTTGTATATAGTTTTTAAATTAAACCCTTTTAAAACTTATGCTATAGGAACAATTTATTAGACATACTGCTTATTTTTTTTGATATACAGAAAATATTAAGAGCTAAAAAAACTTTTAAAAATGTTAAGTTTCCTGAGTCACAGTAGATTACTCCAACTCATTTCTCAAATTTCTTGATAATGTTTTCAGCATTTGGAACAAAATATATTTTAGTTTCTCTCTAATTTTATATATTAGAAATCAGAAAATAATGTTCAAAAGGAAATTGTCAATAATACAATTTTGCCACTGCATTAACTTCTAAATTTCCTCAAACATATTTATGTATCCAATTCTATAGCTCACAGAATAGTATTTTTTCCCAGATTGTTTCATTATTTATATATTTTATACTTCATTCTTGATTTTTCCCTTAGAATATGAAATTTGAGAGATTCTGATTAAACACAGAGTTTCTTATTTTGTCTGTTGCTGCTAATTTAAAATTTTTGAATAAAGAAATAGGAAGATAAATTTATTAAATTGTATTATATTATAACATTTTAATGCAGCTTATTAAAGTATATACATGGGCAAAATAATTTATTGTATTGCTTAGAGCTTTGCTAAAAGCTATTTATAAAATTATTTTAATGCATTAGACAAAACAAAGCTTCCTAAGATATTGCACAAAACAAAACTTTCACAGTGGTTTCCTTACATATGGGATTTAATACTTTGATTTCAAAGCATGATTTTTGGCTATGATATGCTAATAAGGTGTTTTATAACCAAAACCAAACAAATAAACAAACATAATCCTTAACTTATAAGCTAATATCCATCAAGATATAGCTATTTTGAAAAATTAAAATGCCTACATAAAAAATGAAATAAATCTTTTACCACAGAATATTATAATTTTGTCCATTAGTTAGTCCCATGTCTTTTGTTTATAAATTGTTTACTTCCTCCAACTTATATCACTAGGTTGTGGCAGAGTGAGAATAAGACGTCTAAGTTTAATTTACTTTTACTTTTTAGTATTCCATCCTTGAACTACGTAAGACAAAATTATAAAAAAATTAATTCTAATTACCTATTGGAAATGAGAACTTTATACTAGATATTAACCTACAAAGAAGGAAGTGATTACAATGCTATATACTAATATTCATCTAAGATAGCAAAGCAATGGCATTTACCTTAAATTTACGTCTCTGCTCTGCACAGCTGTTGAAGAACCACAAGTCTGTCTCATGGCTGTAAATGTAACAAGAACAATAATGCGACCAATTTTCATACCTAAACTAAATTAAGTAGATTTGTCATAGGCTAGAAAGTTGATAATGTAGTTCACATTTTTAAAAAATATATAGATTATAGAAGTGTGCATGTGTGTGTATGCAAATGTGTGTATGTGTGTAAATTTTCCCTTTACATTCTGAAAATTGGTTTCATAGAACTGAAAGCATTACATATTCTCTTAGCTAACTTTCCTCATTATACTATTAAGGGTGTATCAAGTTTAGAAAGTGCTAGGAGTAGAAATAATAGAATTTAAAAATTAGTTGCGAGATCATCTTCAGCTACTGTTACTAGGACTTTTTCTGAGAGACACAGTAAGAACACAAAGAAGAAACAACTGATAATGCTAAGGTTAACATGAGCTTCTGTTTGCATCACAATCTTTATATATTATTCATCAATTATCATTAATCAATATGCCTACTGATTAGACCTATTCAATTGGTGTTTCATGTGATGAGCAGAACATGTAAACATGTTTCAAATGCCTATATTGAGATATCTATACATGAATGTGAAATCACTGCTACAATTGGTACTCAAGCTTTTAAGATGCAATTTTTTCCTTTCCATTTTGCATTAGATATGCTAATATCTATGCCATCTGTAGCACAAAAATCTGAAAAAATGTAAATGAAAAAGCAAGAGGGGATAAACTCTACTCTGCTAGAAACAGACTCTCTACCATGTCACACTTCAAATTTGGCTACCACTTTTCAACATGTAAAAGAAATTCAGTTGAGTGTTACAAGCAACAGAATATTGTTCTTGTGACTTGAGCCATCAAAACAGATTTTTTAAAAATTCTGTTTTTTCTCTCAAACTTTATAAAATAGTTCCCCACAAAAATACATTTTAAAATGAAAAATACATCACTTTTGGTCTTCTAAAAATAGGCTATGTCTGATAAAATACAAACCACCAAGATTGATTATTAACACCAAATACTTTGCCTTGCAAGTGCAGATTTTCAAACATTTTCATTTATCCTTTTAATTCTAAAGATAATCTACAACAACTCTGTTATGAAAGATTGGTTAATTCTTAAGTAGAAAAAGAACAAAAATGTGAGAGAATCCTTAAAGTTTTTAAGTGTTGATTTCATTTTAAATTGTTAAAAATTTTTAAGAGAAATATTCGTGTTCTTTTACATAAGTGGCAAACATTACAACTCACATTAAACAGTATTTGCAGATGCAAGGGTAATCATTACCTAATCTCCCCCTTTGATAACATGTATAAACTAGTATAAAAATGCTATTAGGTTTTTATTAGATTTGTAATACAATCACAACATGTTTCCAGTTGCTAAGCATATGAAGTACTATGACATCTAAAAATGTAGGCTCATATTGTATTAATTGCAGTGTATTTTGGTGCATAAATAAGTCTTCATTATTACTAAATTCTTATTCATAATTTTTTTTCTTTCTAAGACATTTTGGTATTAGGATTCATCAAAATTACAAAACAATAATAAAATGATAGTTTTATAATCTACACCATAGAGATATATCCATATTAATGTGTATAGCAAAACACTAAATAAATGTGAAACAAAGTCTTTCTAGTAATGGTTAGCAACTGAAATTGTTAAAAGATATTTACAAACCTTTCAATTGCCCTTTTGTGATAAAATAAAAATGAGGACTTTACCCAAATTTATTTATACAACATTTCATGCATGATCAACAATTTCTTATTTTAGAGTCATTAATATCCCACATATTATCTGTGTGTTTGCTAAGAAAATGTATCTATATTTTAGCTAAACAAAGTATCAAAATCTTGCCCCCAATACAACAACAACAACAAAAAAGAAAAACTAAAGCCCAGTCATTCTTTCCAGAGATACCCTGGTAACCAACAATTAAAAAAAAAAAAAGAAAAAAAAGAAACTTCTGGACTTAGCTTTGGAAAGGAGGGAACAACCACTTTGTCCATTTTGGCAAAGTCACTTGATAAAACAGAATTAGGACAATGTGTAGTATTTTCCAGATATTTGAAACAATAAACTTTCCCACCATTAGATGTTTTCCAATATCTGTTAACTTCCTTTGCTATACCAGCGAGTAAGCAAAATTCCCACTTTGAAGCCATAGTAGGATAAACATTTCATTTGTTATCTTCTATGACTTCTATGTAAATTTTTCCCTCTTATGTAAATTTATAAAAGGCTCACAGACTAAGATAACTATATGGAGATACTCCAATCACTGTTATTATTTGGATTGTTGAGGAGTGTAATCCCAGAATCACTGGTTAAAAGTCTTCCAAATTTATTTTAAAAAAGAAAAAAAATACAATAAATGTTAAACTCAGGCTGATTCAATATAATTTTCATTTGCAGTCATGACAGACATCTGTACTTTAGATTCTGTTGAAACATATTCCTACCCTTAAGTCCTCCTTCTTCCCACCCACTCTCCACAAATGGGTTTGTTCCCAAGAAAATATATTCTCATCTCAAATTTGTCTAGGCCATCAATTTAATCCAGTCACTAGGTAATAAGTAGTTTCTGGATCATGTAGATTGGTAGCCTATAATTTTCTGTCATGCAAACTAAACTTCAAAAGGCCATCATGTAAGGTTTAGTCACTAACATTTGGGAGTATACCTGGAAATGAAAACAGACAGCTAGGCCATTAAAAAAAAAATCAATACTGTGTTGTTAAAAACAAAGTAATAAAAAAAAAAATTTCTTCCTCATTTTTAAACTAATTCTGATTTATTAGACACACATATAACACGGTTCAGGAAAAGGTAGTATCTTTCAACAGAGCTGATAAATATTTTGAAACATGTTTTATTCAACTCCAGAGTCTATCTTGCCAACATTTTTTAAATACACCCTAAAAATGCACCCCTTCCCCACAAAGTCACTATATATTATGGCTAAGTCTATATAAAACAATGGTTATATTATGTATCTAAAAGTTACTTTAAAAGACATACATACTATCAGTTTCACAGGACAAACATATGAGTGAGGACAACAAACTCCAGAATGTGTTTTTATAACTGTAGCAACAGTAATAAGTCCTTGGCAAACTCATACAGCTTTTTTGGCAAACTTGGAGGTTTTCTGCATTTGTCAATTGGATGCAAATACAGAAGGATTGTCTAAGACTGCTTTCTATACCATTTTACTATGACTTTGCCTTTAAGGAAGAATTTTCACATTTTAACTTTTTGTGAATAAAGTTCCACTAAAATTCTAAAAGGGAGTTTTAGACAAAACTTTTTTCTGCCTCTGTATATACCAAATGTGGTTCCTACATATTTTTTTGTAGTAACTAACCTTGTAAACGTCTATAAGCTACGCTAATAGAAAATAATTATTTTCTCTTAAGAAGGCAAAATAAGTTCTCTTTATGAATTAAAATTACCTAATAAATGCAAATGTAATTTTTGTATGTCTAAAACTGAGTCAGCATATCTGTTATCATCATGAATATCTTTGAAAACAAGACTCCAAGGACAGGGGTTCTCTACTAACCTGCAGTGGTCTCTGTTTATCACTGCTCTTAGGAGATTTCAATCCACTTGTTTGCTGCTGTAAGAGAAGTTGTCTTGCTGCCTGGAGAGCCTGTAAGTAGAAAGAAATAAATACCAAAATATTTTATTAAAAGTAAACTGAATATCAGTCATTGATAAGTTAATAGTAATAGGTTTCAATATATAAGAAATCTTCCTCTCTTCTAGAGTGAGTCATTACATATTATTTGTCATAAAGTAAAAAAAAAAAAAAGAATCCACATAACACACATATGCAACTTTACTTAAAATTGCAGAGACACATGTAATCCTGGAGGAAATAAAGTTAATTTGCTTAAAGTGCTTAAAGAGGAAAAAATCATAAACTGCACCAATAACCTCATTTCCACAAGGAACTTGTCTTTGAGTGTTCAACTAAAATGCCCACTCCCTTTTAAATTATCATTCAATTTGCATTTTCATATTACAATTTTGAAGCAAAAGCAGTAGACTTCAAGTGTTACCGGAAGCTGTAATTAAATTTGACAAATCAACATCAGATTATCTTGAAAGTGAATTAATAAGGATTTTCACTAAAGATTAAAAACACTTTTTTGTACTTACAATTCAAGGGGAAACCTCTCCTTTGACAAAATAAAGTGCAGTTTTAATGCCAAATAAAATTGAGTGGTTTTCATTTGCATTCTTAGCAAAATCAGAGAACAAAGAAATTACCACTCAACCAATCAGGTTTGTTTCTATGTGTGACAGAATACCAATCAAAATAGAAGATGTTTTCATTTATTTTTATGTTTTCTTTCCCACTTAGGAAATTAAACTTAACGTAAGAAATTAATGTAAGCTTTTCATTTACTAGAGGAGGGACAGGTTGGTGAGTGTATTATATAAACATCATATAAAAAGTAGTGACATAATAATACATAGTGAGTTGCTTTAAAGGTAGCAGTATAAACTAATACATAAAAAACTTTTTAAATGCCTTTACTTCACACACTCGTTTTTTTTTCCCTCTCAACAACTGAATTCAATGAACAATAATGATGAGATTTTTTTCAATACATAAAACTAAAATAAATCATTGTCCTACTCTGTTATTCACTGTTTGACAATATAAGGTAAATTTTTCATGATGGGAAATATACTTGAGATCAATATTCTTCTATAATAATTAAGATTCTAAGCTGATAAAAAGTACAATTTTGATTGGAATCAATGATCTGGTTTTTTAAGAGAGTTTCTAGTATCCATGACAACAGTTGCTTTGACAAGATGTGCATATGGCATTACACTGCCAGCTGGTGTGAACAATGTTTGAACTACTGCATTGAGATGCTGAGCAAACAGAAAAAGTTGCCACGTCTTAACCCTCAGGGAAAGCAGTCATCCCCTGATCAATTATGAAAAGACAGAGAGAGGGCTGCTACAGTCTGGCTCCAAGCAAGTTTTCTGAGAAGGCAGGCAGACATAGAAACCAAAGTAAACAAACTGAATGCACTAGCACTATCTCCTAACAACACTGATTTGTCTTCCCATAGCTGGATCTGGCAGAATTTGTAAGCACACTTTTTACATTTGGAGACACACTCACAACAATTCTTTTATTTTTTAAAATTCTCCAGTAATTACAAGTTAACTTAAATGTTTCTAAGGATGGTCCATTTCAGTGAACTCATAATTTTATTACAAAGTTCAGTTTGGAAAAAAAAAAGATCAAACAAAATTAATTCCAAAATACCTCAGTTACAAAAATCATGTTTAAAATTTCATGCAGTATTCTAAAAAAATGCAACTTTCTTTTTTAAAACTACACTACAAAATAATTACAATAATATTTTTATATGGAAATAATAATAGTAACTTAGGTGGTGTCTATGTGAAAATTCCAAAAAATAAAATTAGTCAACTATTTTTCCTTTTGATGCCAAAATTCACTCAAAGTACATCTAATGTTTTTCATATAATTCCTTTTCCCTTTGAATTCATTAGTTTATTTGGAAATAAATAGTCCTATATAGTCAATACTGAATTCTGTAGTTAGATTATTTTTAAAGGATTTTAATGAATACAATTCAAAATATTGGAATCAGGGATGACTAGCAGCAAAAGCAATCTTAGGAATCATCCAATTTGACCCTCTAATTTTAATATATGAGAAAAATGAGAACTAGAGCAATGAACTGCTTTGTTCAAGGTCTACTGGCTTGCAGGCTATAGTGCACTGCAGTGTGCCATATTGTCTCTGTTGTATCACAGGAACCATTAGATGGCAATGAATAAAACTCAAGTAAAGGAGAACATACGGCACCATAACAAAATTATTTTTTACCGGTAAAGAGAACATATCCATTTATCAAAACTTAAAAGGGAAACATCATCTTTTTATGTTTTGAATTTATAAGTGTGTGAATAGAACAACAATCACAGAATATATATAAATTTTGTTATGTGTTCCCACCATATTTTACTTGAATTTAATCACATATTTCATCAAAACCGGATGGAGCTTTTATCTCTTGTAACAATTCTCATTTGATCAGTTATAGAATGATAGAGAGCATGACAAAACCTTAGGAATTTTGTAGCCTAGTTTTAACATTTTGTAGCAAAAAAAAAATCACTGAAGAACCAGTCTCATGAAAACAGCACAATCACAAACTCACTCTTGTTTCTGGAGTTTAGAAACCTAGCCATTTTACCAAATTGCTTCTATCTATTTAACTTAATCTAAACAAGTAATCCAAAAGCATATGTATAACTCAATGGCTAGAAAAAGACCCTGGAGAATTAGATGTATTAGAACTGTAGCTCCATCAAAGTAACACTAGACAAAAATGTGTGTGTGTGTGTGTGTGAGTGTACTTTGTTATTAAAGGAGCAATAATACAACAGAATACCACAAGAGAGCTAACTAAAACTTGCTGCTTTTTAAAAACAGTACTTTGGTTTTCATGTGAATTTACAGTTGTCTCTTAAAAAGTCAAGGATCAACTTTTAATGCAATGTATAATGAAAAACAGCTATTCACCTATTTTAACAGTCTGTTGGTAGCAACAGAGACTGCCAAGGTAAATATAAGAGGTAAGAGAACAGAAACAATTGCAAGAGATCAGGAATAATTTTAAACTAATAACCAGGAATCTTTGGCAGTTTACATTCTAACTGCAGGCACCAAATGACATTTTTATATGCAGTATTCTGGATAACATTTTAGGAATGGATTTCAATAAACAAATTGCTCAGAGACATTTAGTTCATCTTTGCAATTGAATATTGTACCTATTCAAAAGATGAAAGATTATGAAATAAAACACTTCCATCAACATTAGGTGTTAGGTGTCAAATTATATAAAATATTAATTTGAAAATCACTTGTCCACTTCAATTGATAAGTAAAGAAGAGAAATCCTATGTCCATTCATAACATTCTTAAACCAGCTAGATATTTATACGTTCACCCTCTGCAAAAAAAAAAAAAAATTAATTTAAAACAAAAGGCAAAAGATACTTACAAAAGTTCCTTTAATAATGACTGAGACTGAGTCAAATGTACAACAAGAATTTCTAAAGCAGTCAAACCATATCTAGTTTCCAAAAACACATTTGTTTTGAATTAAGGGTGCACTTTACTTAATGAAGTTATCTCATTTTAGCAAAGCTATAGAAAATTAGGAGAGGATATTTTAAAAATTGGAATCATATTAAATTAAAATATTTTAAAAAGATGCCTAAAAATCCTTATAATAGGTTAAAGGCAAACTTTTATTAGACCACGGAGGTGTTCAAATGCATGTTTCCCAAAATTCAGTGTATTATACTCTAAATTATTTATCAAAACACCAGTCTTTATAGTTACTGTATAATTTCAAATAAACTAAACTTTTACAAGAAAAGGAAAGTTCAAACACATCACTCTCCAACAATAGTAATAACTTTATGCTAGTTTTGAACCTGATAATCAAAGATTAATTCTTATGGATAGGTCATGATAGGAATCAAGAGTGAAAAAGCTTTGCAGGCCCACAAGATCAATCAATACTTTTTTCCCTAAAGACACTCAAAACTTGAACCAGAAGTAAAGTTGTTTGAAAATAGCTTAGAAATACTCAGTGAAACTCAAAATGATGTTGAGTATGATAAGGTTTATAAATAACTTCTTTTTTATCAAAGTAAATATATGTATATTTTGGGAAAAAAACAGACATCACTCATATCTCTCGCCATAAAAATAGGAATGCTTAACCTATCAGCCTGTTGCATTTGAGACATTAAAATGAAAAATGACATCTACGCCCATTAATATCTTCAATGTATAAACAGCACAGCATGACACATTCTTGAGAGCTGAAGGCTACAAAATCTCTCTGAAACATAAATAACAAAGCACTCAGAAGCATATTTGATGTTGATATTCATCTCTGAGAAAAACACTGCTGTCTGGGCTTCTTATGAAAATAGATGCAGCCCAAATGGATCTCCTGTAATTGGTTTCAGATAGCGAGGTCAGAAGAAATATGATACAAGAAACGATTATGTGGAACAGGCGAAACAAGAATGTTTACACAGGCACTCCCTAGTTTTACTGACAAGGGGTGTATACTGTGCAGATAACCAAAACCAAAAAAAAAAAAAAAAAAAAAAAAAAAAAGCAGCTTGCAGGACTTTTAGATTTTTGCTCTTCATACTCATATATTTTAACCTTTAACACATGACGTCTTTAGTATGTTACTTTGAACACCGAACATAAAGTACATTTTCAAACAGAATTTCATTTTCTAATTATTTTCACAAGTATGGTTGATAAAAAGTATATTCAGATCCTTCCACAAAGAGTAAGAATTCCTAATCTATTTGCCTTTCCTTGCATTATGTTCCAACTAAAGAGAATATACTGATAAATGTAATCTGAAGTCTCATAATGCTATTTAATAGAAGAAAATTAATCATCTAATTGTCACAACCTATTTTCAAACAGCAATCTATCAGAGTGAAATTATGCATCTGTAGCTATTGACCTTTCCTTTTATCATGTCTGATACATAATTAGACGAAGTTTGTGAAGGAAAAAAGCTAATTACTAGAAAATACTTTTAA